TCCTCGAGATATAGATGATTCTGTTCCTCTAGAAACAGAACTTCCACGTGATTCTTCTGTCGGTATTTGAGAAGAGGATGGACGACTGGATTCGTTCGTAGGATTTAATAGGGATGTTCGAGCTGACGTGCCGAACGTAGATCTCCCAAATACAACTCCTGCTTTACGATATTCTTCCGGTGTCAATACTCCTGCTTTCTCCGAATTCTTCGAAGTACGCAGTTTTCCTGATGAACTAATGTTGACAGTTCACAGAAATGGTATCACAAAGATCAACACACTTCTACCAAATAATCGAATATAATCCAAACAAACGTTCAATTTAATTTATCAAGCTAATTGTAGCTTCAAAACCACCCCTCGCGGTGGGCTCCAGATAACGAGCTTGCCTCGTTTTTGTGTGAAAGAGAAAGGAAGGAATCTAATGGGCACTCCAACCAACCAATCTAATACACAATATGCGAGTTCACTGCTATCAAATTTATTTAATAGCAAGGGGTAGCGTTGGCAAAGGTTCCGCAAAGCTTTGAGAGCTAAGTACGAAGCTTTGATCAATCAATTTGAATCGTTCTAAGGATTCGATATATTCCTTTGATCAAGGTAGATTCAGCACAATTTGTGCTTTGGTTTGTATTGATTTGGGTATATCAAGAATTGGGGGTTTGAATCAAAGTAAATTAAAACCGAAACACACAGACCCCTACAGAGGGCTAGAACTATGTGCTGGCACAACCACACAGCGTGATTTGCCCTTAAGACCAACGACTGATCCTAAGTTCGAAGAATACCCAACAACTGGATAGACTTCTCGCAGTCACAAGGAGCAGAACATGACGTTCCTATACTCACAAGTGCCGGGCCCGAATGGCTGCTAGCGAAGAGGTTTCAGTCTGGCGGGAGTGTGTCTTTCCTTTTTACGGATTAGCAATGCAACGTCGTCCCGAAATCACTTGTATTCCAGATACATCGGATCGCTATTTATACATACAGAATATAGAGTCGCATAGTACAATTAATTTAATACAATAAACGTTCGGAACCGCAAGGAAACTTCTACACTCAGTCAGATACCATTTAATTTGAATCTACATGTCCTTATTTGGTCCATATTGGTTCCAAGATTCTAGTATACCTCCAAACATAGGTAGGTACTTCAATATTCATTTAATTTAATTGTTTTTAGAGAATGACTCGAATGGTGTTCAACTGTCATTGCGGTTCAACACTTACTTCGATCATTTGTCATCTCGTCCGGAGGCAAATCAGCTCTCCTCGATTCTAATCCTATCAATCTGATTCATCTGGATTAAACTAATTGCTTCTCTCTTTCAATAGACACCCATTGTGCCTATACTCAATCAAGGGAGTTACACATAGTATTCATTTAATTGCATTCTTCAATATTTTCTACGTCAGGACTCTTTGACATTCATTTGATATGTCTTCGGAGCCTCGCAGTACTTCGATCGTTCTTCTAGTCATTTTCCTCAACCATGCAACTTGATTGGTCTATTAGACTAAATCGCAGTCCTTTAGATTAATGCATGATCTTGTTCTAGAAGGAGTATTTGATAATTCCTGAGTTCTAGAAAGTCATTTCGAGTCAATCCTCGGTTCATGGTCACTTGAGTAAGTTCTTCCAAACTCCTGCCAGTGTAAGGTCCAATAAGAATACCCTTGGTATGTCATACGTGAATGGTCATCCTTCGGATGTAGTCCGAGTCTGGTATAATCCTGCTTGACAAACAGGTAGACTGCTATCCGAAGGTAGTATCGGGGATGGGTAAACTAACCAACTTGTGGTAGTATGGGTATATGGTCCCTTCAACTTATTAGACTGATTCAGTATTGACTTTGACTGTCAATCTGGGTCTCAATTACAGTCCTCTCGATACAAATCTATACGTGAAAATGTCACAATTCACAGCATAGATGTCTAGCCAAAATTTAGGCGTGTCACCGGGCCCGAATGGCTGCTAGCGAAGAGGTTTCAGTCTGGCGGGAGTGTGTCTTTCCTTTTTACGGATTAGCACTGCAACGTCGTCCCAAAATCACTTGTATTCCAGATACATCGGATCACTATTTATACATACAGAATATAGAGTCGCACAATACAATTAATTTAATTTAATAAACGTTCGGAACCGCAAGGAAACCTCTACAATTGGTCAGATACCATTTAATTTGAATCTACATGTCCTTATTTGGTCCATAATGGTTCCAAGATTCGAGTATACCTCCAAACATAGGTAGGTACTTCGATATTCATTTAATTTAATTGTTTTTAGAGAATGACTCGAATGGTGTTCAGCTGTCAGCGCTGTTCAACACTTACTTCGATCGTTTGTCACCTCATCCGGAGGCAAATCAGCTCTCCTCAATTCTAATCCTATCAATCTGATTCATCTGGATTAAACTAATTGCTTCTCTCTTTCAATAGACACCCATTGTGCCTATACTCTATCAAGGGAGTTACGTATAGTATTTATTTGTTTGCATTCTTCAATATTTTCTACGTCAGGACTCTTTGACATTCATTTGATATGTCTTCGGAGCCTCATCATACTTCGATCGCTCTTCTATTCATTTTCCTCAATCATGCAACCTGATTGGTCTATTAGACTAAATCACAGTCTTTTAGATTAATGCCTGATCTCGTTCTAGAAAGAGTATTTGATAATTCCTGAGTTCTAGAAAGTCATCTCAAGTCAATCCTCGGCTCATGGTTACTTGAGTAAGTTCTTCCAAACTCCTGCCAGTGTAAGGTCCAATAAGAATACCCTTGGTATGTCATACGTGAATGGTCATCCTTCGGATGTAGTCCGAGTCTGGTATAATCCTGCTTGACAAACAGGTAGACTGCTATCCAAAGGTAGTATCGGGGATGGGTAAACTAACCAACTTGTGGTAGTATGGGTATATGGTCCCTTCAACTTATTAGACTGATTCAGTATTGACTTTGACTGTCAATCTGGGTCTCAATTACAGTCCTCTCGATACAAATCTATGCGTGAAAATGTCACAATTCACAGCATAGACGTCTAGCCAAAATTTAGGCGTGTCATCGCCTTCCGTAGTTGATCCACTAAGGTGCCTATCAGTGGTAGAGGGTACCTGTTCTGCTTCGTGATCTTGTTCAGAGCTCAATAGTTGACGCAGAGTCGCAGGGTACCATCCTTTTTCTTGGCAAACAAGACAGGAGCTCCTGCAGGGGAACTGGAGGACCGTATGAACCCCTTCCCCAACATCTCATCGATGTACTCCTTGAGAGATTTCAGCTCCTTCTCAGACATGTTGTAGAGCTTCCCTATGGGAGGTATTGCATCCCCTTCCGTTTCGATCTTGATATTGTAGGGTCGGTGAGGAGGTAGCGTCCTTGCTTCTCCGGGTGAGAATACATCCAGGTAGTCCTGGTATTGGATGGGAATGGATTTCTTTAACTCCTCCGTCTCCTGTTGCTTTGAAGCTTCTTCGTCATGCTCCTTGACGGCCCCCCCTTGTTCCGGACTAGGGTTTCCACTCTCAGGATCCTTTGGTTGCTGCTATCACTCACCGGAAGCATTTCTTTGATAGGGGACTCTTCCTTCGTGGGAGATATATGAAGGAAGTACACTGGGGTTCCCTCCCTCAGTAGACGATCCATCCCAGCAGCTCCTATTATGCTGATGGGCTTCCCTTGTATGGTAGGATCCAATTTTTGTTCCACCACATGGGTACCCGCTATGAGTTGCTTTCTTCGGAAGTTGTTGCATCTTATTGAACCCTTGGGAGTCAGACCAGACCTTGACGGAATCTTGGGTATGTTCAGACTCTCGATGTCTAAGGTGGGGAGGTTGGGATAAGGTCCATGTTCCCTTCTTTTCTTCCTCCACCGGACTTTTTGCTTCACTCCAGGCCAGGAGGAGGATCATTCCTACTCCCTATTCTTCCACTTTTTGTAGGCCTCCTCTGAATCCTTCGCTGATTTCGGGGTTACTGCCTCCATGGCAGATCGTCCCGCCTCAAGGGTTTCCTCCACCTCTTGTTCCGTGCTTTTGCTTGCGAACGCTAGCCATTTGTTGATCCCCACAAGGATTGGGTCATCTGGCCCTAGATTTTTGAACTCGTGCGGACCAGGTTGTCTCGCCCCGTACTCCTCGTCCTTTACTTCCTCTAGTTTCACCCTCGTCCTTGGAACTTTAAGGGGAGCTTCTGGAGGTTGTTGCGGAGCTTCAGGAGGTTGGTGAGGAGCTTCAGGAGGTGGTTAGAGAGTTCCTTCGTGTATTTCTTTGCCGTTTACCCCCCTTCCTAGTTCCTCGGTACCTCCCTCGGTGCCTGGTTGGACAATTTCCAATGCAAGGGCTGCTGAAATTTGGGCATTTCAGTCCTGGAATGTCAGACAAAGTTCCTTCCAGTCAATTACTGGGTTGTGCATGCATAGCCATGGCAATTCTAGCACGATCGGAGCCATGGGGTGTAATCGAGTCACTAGGAACTCCACCTTGTGAATTGTTCCATCCGCAAAGCTGATCTGGTCAGTGTAGGTCTGAGTTATCAGTCCTGCGGAGGTAGGTTGCCCATCGAACAGCTCCAAAGGGATGCTGTTTGTTAGGTCGACCAAATTTTCGGGATGTCGCATAGCGACGGTTTTGTCTATGAAGCATCTAGTTGCTCCACTATCCACTAGTGTGGCATATTCTTTGTCTTCATCGAGGTCGGAGAACGGAAAGCATGTAAGGATGATGAAGAAATTATAGGATCGGGATGTGAGACGAGCTGGCTGTCATAAAGTATGCAGCCCCTATCATTTTCCTTTTCTCACCGTCTGTAAGACCTGGGTCAGAATAGGTCTTAGGGTAGGGTTTGGTATATGAAGGTTTATGTTGTAGCATGCTAGGAGCAGGCTGGAGCTCGAAGGGAGCTACGACAACGAGAAGTAGAGCAGTTGCAGTCTTCTCGCCATGAGGTCCTAGAGCACGAAACGGAGTACCGTCGCGTGTTGGATCAGTTCGTCGCTTTGGATGAAGCCTTACCGGGCACCCCTGGTCAAGTGAGTACTTAAGTTTTCTTCCTCTTTTAATCCATGATTGATTTCTTCTCCTCAGAGTCTCTTGGAGCGTTTTCAAAAAGTGCAAGAGGACCTTCGAGATGCTGTTAGGGAGCGCAAGGTCGCTGTGGAGAAGGTGTCCTCCTCTACTCGCAAGAGTTCGCAGCTGATGATCACCTTGCTGTACCAACAAGGTCGTGTTGACGAGTCTAATGCTTTAGCAACACGTCAACGTCGCCTGGTGGAAGAATTGCAAGAGGAGATCCATCGTGCTCGCAATCATGCTGCTTTTGTTGAGCAAATGGTCAAGGAGTACCCTGATGAGGGTTATTACAAGGTTGTCCTGCCCCCCCTTTCGCAGCTCGAAGGTGATCTTAATAAGGCTCGCGAGGACCTCCGCCGTGTTGCTACCCTTGCTCACCGCCTTCATTGTTCCGACCCTGTGACCGTCCTTCACCACCATCACCGTTATATCGGGGCGATTATTGAAGCTGTGGTCGCCTTCCTCCATCGTGGACTGGAGTCTGAAGACCCTGACGTTGTTACCCACAACTTCGGGTTGGCGTTGGATTACATGCAGGTGGCTCGGGGTGTCCACGGAGATCTTTATATCCAGTCCATTAGTAGCATTCAATGGTTCTTTAACAACGCTGTGGACGAGGATGAGGGTCTCTATTGCCTGGTATCGGAACACTCCCGGTTCGACAATGATGGTCCTTTCCTGACGGCTGCTCAGCATGTGGGTTTTGCTCCTCCCCCCGATAACTCCCTTGAACCTCCTCTTCACAGACGAATGTTGGCGCTGTCCACAGCTCTCCCTCATAGCGACGGCGTTGGGAGGTGGGATGATATCGTTCCTGCCCTTCCCAGTGTCAACCAGCTGACTGCGGATTGGGAGCAGTTGATGTTACGCTACATTCATCACATCACGGATGTTCCCCTGTCTGGCACGGATACCCAAGTTCCCATGTCGTCGGTGGAGCCCGGTACTGAGTCATTGGCCGAAGTAATGGGTGTGGGCAACACCCTGCCAAAATGTCAGGTTCCCACGGGACATCCGAATTTGGAAGCATAGCCACCCTCCCGCCAAATCGTAACAACGGTGCAGATGACTCCCCTAAGACAAATACAGAATCATTTTAGATTACTATTTTGTACCATATTTGCACAGAAAATGTGATAAATTTATACTTCTGGCCTACCACCACTAGAAGGTCAGAAGGTCTCAACTGCTCTACACAAGAAGTAGGGGGGGAGAGAAAAGCAGGGGTTGAAGATATGAGACAGGGTGAAGTTTCACACAGAGGGAGGTCAAAAGTTGCAAAAATTCAGGAGGATAACCTGAAGAAGTTACAAAACTGCAAAACTATTGCACAGTTCTGGTCCTTATATATCAACTGGATGGATGGCAAACCAAAGGAAATGGAAGTGACCATTGAACAGCTGCTTAGGGAATTCCGGTCATGCATGCAAAGCCCAGTCATTATCCCACCAAATTTAGATGCAAAGTATTTGGCACAGTGGAAGCAATGGGAAGCAATGACCCAGATAGAAATGTGGATCCAACTCAGCAGAAATTTTTCAGTCGTGCAATACAGAAAGAGGAGATTGAGGAAGCAAAGGTTTTGTGATCTGGTTCCCTTGAAAGTATGAGAGCAGGACGACCACTATTTCCGCGATAGTAGACATGCTCTAAGATAGCGAAGATGATTTCGACAGGAAGGGCAGTCATTCGGTTGTTTCGACAGAAAGCAGATTTACGTGCAGATAAATTGAAAAAGGATGTGTGGACAAACATAGAAAGAAGTCCAGGACTCGGATTTGGAATTTGAATTTCATCTGCAAAACCTGTATGTTCGGCTAAATAGCCGAAAGCAGCTCAGAGCACTTGGGAGTACTTCCCAGCAGTGAAAGCACCCAGAGCAGGCTTTGATTTTTGCTTTGGGTGCTTTTGTCGCTGGAGAGTGTTAAGATCATGTACACTGTGTAACCGTGCCAAAGCCACAAGGTGCCTAAGTGCGGAAGACGAATGGGACAGTAGTGAAGTTATTAACAACACCGCTGTTACGCCGTTAGTCCCCGGAGATCGAGAGTAAAGAGGAAGGAGCTAAGTAGCAGCCAAGTTGGAGCGGACCAGAGAACGTTCAAGTCCTAAGGTCGAGGGGAACGTACTTCAAGGCGTTGAGCCTGAAGTCTTAGAGAAGAGTTAAGTTGAGAAGGGAGATCTAAGTTGATAATTAAACTGAGGAACTACAGTAGCATACAGGCAGTATTTATATCTACGGAACGGCGCAGCAGTGCGGAGTGCCAGACTAACTACTAGGAGCTATACGAGTAGTACCTGCAGGGTAAAGTAAAAGACAATAAGAAGGGACTAGAACGAAAGGGTATGTGTAGCGAGAAAGAACAATAGGAGTGAGATTACAATAAGAGTAGATCTTCGGAGTACCGAGCGGCAGAATGGAGGCCCGAGGCATGGACTTGACAGTATCCCCCTCTTAGGCTTGAGCCCGCACCATAACCACCACCACCCAAAAATCTTGGACCGCCGGACCTTCGAGGTCACGGCCTGCTCCTCCACCGCCCATCGATCTCACCGTCCCCGATGAGCCTAGAGAAGACGACGACGACGATGTGGAGGAAGACAACGACGAGGTGATCCAGCGGGCAGAGGAGAAGGTCCGCCGGATGAAGGCCAGGAAGGTGGCGGCGGCGGCTAAGAAGAAAGCCGAGGAGGAGGTGGTCAGGAAGGCCGCGGAGGAGGCGCAGAGGAAGAAGGAGGCGGCAGCGCGGGAGTTGGAGGAGCGCCGGAGGAGAATGGCGGAGGCGGCCACCGCTCGTAGTCGACGTGGCTCCTCGCCAGGAGGGAGTTCGGTTTCCCCACAGCAGCCGGTGGTGGAAATTCGAAAGAACAAGGGAAAAGGCAAGGGCAAGGCCCAGGTGAGTACTGATACCCCTTAACGATAATCTTGTGCTGATTCTCCTGCTCATAGCCCGTTGGTGGGGACCCCGATGACGGCGGCGACGGGGATGACAACGACGATGACGAAGATGACAGGGCTCCCTGCGAAAGATGCAGGAGCAAGAAGATCTCTTGCCAGATGCAGGCTGGCAAGAGGAGTTCTGTCATTTGCAAACCCTGCCACGACGCCAAGGTACAGTGCTCGTACTCCGGGCGGCCCTCAACGGTGAAGCGAGAGGGGGGAGGAACTCCGTACGGCAAGCGCCTGGCGGTTCTGGAGAGCCAGGTGGCTCAGTTACTCGCCGACAACCGGCAGCTTCGAGATAGTCAGGTGAAGGCGAACACCTACCATCGTCACATGAACCAGAAGCTGGACTGGTTGGTTACGGATGCCTCAAGGAGGAGAAGAACGCCACCAGAATTGCCGGAGGCTGGGCCGTCGGTTTTGCCGAAGAAACAACGGAGACTTGCAGATAGCGATGAGGAAGAGGAACAGGGGAGAGTAGAGCAAGAGGTTGGGGAAGAGGAGGAAATGGAGGAAAGGGAAGAAGAGGAGAGGGATGAGTCGGCGCCGAAGAAGGCCCGGTCGGAGAAAGGGAAGGAAAGGGAGGAGTAGAGTAGTAGTATCACGGACATCGGACCTCGGCCCTGCGGCCCTTCTTGTAACTTCTTGTAGTCCTCTGCCTTCTGTACATATTTTTTGCTTATTGCTTTTTTGTATCTAAAAAAAATGTTAACGCGATTTAAAATCGGAAAGCGAATGGGCCGCGAAGCGGCGTAAGAAGTAATTAGTTCAAAGTATAATTAGTTTAAGTGTGAAAGAAATATAAGGGAAATAGTAGATTGAAGAATGAGATGAACAATTAAGAGAGAGGGATAAACACTCAATTTACTATCATCGTGTTTACCCTCAAAACGCACAAAGTAAACTTCGGCGGAGCGCGGCGTAAAACGGGGAAAGGAATAAAATGATTTTTTGTGGTCAAGGTCCAGGCTTCAAAGGATAACGAGCGTGGAATGCGGGTACCAGCTTGTCAGCATGTAATTCATCAGCAGCAACCCAAGAGAATTCATCATCGGTACCTTCATAACCGGCCCACCGAATATAGTAACATAGAGGACAACACTTATACCTTCTGTCCAGCTTGGAGTCCAGAATTTCGGCAACGTTGTACTCCTCTTCACCATCAACTTCAATTGGAGGTGGAGGAGATTGAGTACGATTCGGGAATGGATTCGGTGTAACCGGCTCCAGCTGTGAGACGTGGAAAACCGGGTGAATGCGGCAAAGATAGTCCGGGAGCTTGAGCTCGTAAGACAAAGTACCAGGTCGACTGATGACCTTGAAAGGACCAAGATATTTTTCTGAGAATTTTTCAGTAGGACGAGTAGATCGAATATGCTTAGCAAGAACAAATACTTCGAAGCTGATCGGGAACTCTGGGTGCGAGATTCTTTTCCTGTCAGCTTGTTCCTTGTAACGAGATTGAGCTAAAAGGATTTCCTCTCGAAGGAAAGCGTGGAGTTCATTGAGGTTGACGACGAAGTCTCTAGCTAGATCAGACTTCATATCGACCTCGGGCCGAACGGTGATATTTGGGTGGTATCCTTTGTTAGCGAAGAATGGAGTAATACCAGTGGAAGCATTGGGAGCGTTGTTATAGGCGAACTCGGCGATTGGAAGTAAAGGCGACCAGTCATCCTGTTGGTAGGAGCAATAGATCCTGATGTACTGCTCGAGAGTCTGATTGACACGCTTGGTCTGCCCATCGGCTTCCGGATGATATCCAGAGGTATAGTGAAGTTCCATGGAGAGCGCTTTACCGAGAGCCCGGAAGAACGCCGAAACAAATTCGGAACCACGATCGGAAGTAACATGATTAGGGACACCATGCTTAGAGAAGACGTGAATAACAAAAAGCTCAGCTAGTTGTTCGGAAGTAATGGTGTCGTGAGTTGGAATAAATATAGCTTGCTTGGAAGATCGATCCACAACAACGAGGATAGCTGTATAGCCATTCGACATTGGCAGTTGCTCAATGAAGTCCATAGAGATGGAGTCCCATGGTCGGACCGGAACCGGCAAAGGTTTCAACAAGCCGTAAGGCCGATGACGGCAGGGCTTATTGCGACCACAGATAGTGCAAGAGGTAACGTAGTCACGAACAAAGTCTCTGACCTTGGGCCAGGTGTATTGACGATGTACCGCTTCTAGAGTGCGGTTCTGGCTGAAATGGCCGGAAAGTGGATGATCATGGAAATAGTGGAGGACTTGAAGGCAAAGATCGCCGTGATTAGGGACATAAATACGGTTGTCAAGGCGTAGTAGCTTGTCACTACCTAAGCTCCAACATTCATTGGAAGGATCTTTTGCAAGTTCCAAACCAACAACAGAGCTCGGACCGGCGGGAAGGGCGAGGATGATTGTTTGGTGTAGGGCTTCGATATCCATGATAATAGAGGCTCGTAAAACCGGACCTTCCAGGAAGGTAGCTCGAAGAGATGCAGTCAGTTGTTCGTTAGTAAAGATAGGACGAAAGTTATGAGGGTTCACTTGGGCGTAGCCGATATCCCCCTCTTTAGGGTAGACGTCCCAGCGTCTAGTTATTGAATCAGGTTTCTCGCCGAGTTTCCCCGGTCGGAAGCGAATGACCATATTAAATTGATGTAAAAATTCAGACCATCGGACCTGTCGGCGTGTAAGAACCTTGGTAGTAGAGAAATACTCAAGATTCTTGTGATCGGTGACGACGTCCACCGGATCACCCGAGCCTTCCAGATAGTGACGCCAAGCTTTAAAGGCCTCGAAGATGGCCAGAAGCTCTTTGTCGTGTGTATCGTAGTTGAGTTCAGCTGCGTGAAGCGTTCTGGAAAGGAAGGCTAGAGGATGAATTGCGACCTCTGAGTGAATAGCACGAAGGAGTATGGGTTCCATACCAGCGTCCTTGCAAGCCCTGTTAAAGACTGCAGCACTCACCAGTGCAATGTCAACCTCGGGAGTTTCCAGCTGAGCAGCAAATTGAGAGACCGTAGGATAAGAATAGATGGGTTCAAAAGGGAATTTAGACGAAAGGGGCTTGGCCCGTGAAGTCCGAGAGCGGGGGCGAGAGCGA